TGGCAATTTCCTGATTTATCCCTCATGTCATTTCCGTTTTGCATTTGTATGCGCTGACCACTGTTCGACCCCCAGGTCACAAATAGAAAAAAAAACTCACAAATATGATAAGCATTGAAATGAAATTCTATGATTTCACTCCAAATCGTTGGGATGTCTGCTTGTTTGTGTGTGCTCTACATGATTACGTGCTTTTCAATGGCATTTCCTGCTTAGTCGTTGACTTACTCTTAGAACCTCACCGCCCTTCGAGTTTGGCTATTTTTGTGGCTTCTGTTATTTGATTTATTTGTTTATATTGCAGTTTATCTTTGTCATTGCTGTTGTTCCTGCTGACAAATTATTGGTTTGATTGGCCTAACCAAAAACATATCCGCCTTTTAAGCGCACCTTTCTTCCAGGGTTTTGTTAAACACAAAAAAAAACACAGGGATCAAATCAATAAACGCCTGGTAAATTTCTGGTATATATCCGCATATCGTGTTTACCATGCAAAAAAAAATTTCTCTCTCTCGGAGATTCTCTGACATCAAAATTGATACCACATAACATCAAATCGAACATCGTTTCAAACCAAGTTTTTTTGGGTGTAGAAAAAATAAATTTAAATATACAATTTACAAGGATTTTATTATATAAATATTTTATATATAAATATAAATTATTATATTTTAGTCTATAAATATACAATTTATTTTATTTCAGATCACTTTAAGTATTTACCCAATTTTCAAGTCATTGGCAGAGCCTAATTTAAATGTGCCATCATTACAAAATCAATTGAATTTTCAAGCCGCAGAACACACATGGAAACTCTATGGCATGTAAAATCCCCAACATCAACCACGAAAGCAAATGGGGCTCATCACATTGTAGCTGGTTTCTTTTATTTTTTGGGCAACATTATTTTTATGCAAAACATGAACATTTAATAGAACGCTCTAAGAATTTTTAATGAGCTCGTTCAGCAGGAGAAAAAAAGAGTGAGCAGAGAGTACATTACCTCCCCGCCGTTCTTTTTTGGCATTTTACATGTTTTATGAGCTTTTCCAGCGCTCAGGATTTTTTTCTTTTTTTTTTTTGCGGCTCAGGTAGACCAAGTCAGTTTCGGCTGGTGCCTCCACCTTTCACTCCCCGTTCCACGTACGGGTAATCAAATCAGTTGGTGAGGCAACTGTGTGCGTCACATAAATTTGCGCACATTTAGCAGATAATGAGCACAATTAGCAAATGGCTGCCGTTTTGCAGGAACCTGCAGCAGATTGTATGCATAAGTTATTCAGCTTGTTGGTAAAAGCTTTTCTTTTCCGCGCTCAACATTCAACGTCCAGCCAAATCATTCGCAGCAATATCTCAAGTTGTCGCTTTGGTAGAACCGCATTGCACCTAAGTAAATTATCGTGTTTCATTTGCCAGGCCATCAGTTGACCGACCGCCACTTGGCAACACTTAGTCACTTGGTTTCATGAGTAAACACATCTTATAAATTATTCAAAAACGCAAAAACGCAAAAAAGCTATTTGCAACACTTTACCGTTAGCAATGCCACCGACGCTGCCGTTAGCATAAATTTTTTAGCATTTCTTCGATGCTGCTGGTGCTGCTGCTTCTGCTGTCCCCGACAATCAGTCAAAAACTTTTGGCGCAACATATGCGTGGGAGGAAGAGAGATGATGTCGCACAGAAAAGCAAAGGAAGCCAGGTAACAGAGGCAGCAGCAGCAAAAAGCATGACAAATGAAATGTTCAACTTGCGCTTAAAGCCGAGCAAAAAAAGAGCCCAGAAAATGGGGTCGCTCAAAAAAAGGGCGGGAAAAAAAATCATCGTAGTATATTTCGGAACACCAGGAAGTAGAAACTGAAGTGGAGTGGCGTGGCATGGAGTTTCGGCTGATAAAGTGGCTCGTCTTACCGGCAGCTCTTGGCCCAAAGTAAAAAGAGTCCTGTCCGGTCGAATTCACTACTCGACTTGGCTCCTGGCTTCGGGCTCCTTTTCTTTTCCGTGTTGTCGCCGCTAAGGCTTCGTTCAAATATTTAACTTAAGTAAGCGTTTGTAATTAATTTCACGCTTAATACTGACACTTTACCACACTTTTCAACACTTTTTCGGCGCCCGCGCTTCGCTCTCGCTTTTATGGCATAATAAACACGCATTTTATAATAAAGTCAAAAAAATTGACTGCATAATTTATTGGCAAGGAGCAAGGAGTTGGCGGCAAGGCTTTCCTCCTTCGTCTTTGCTTTCTCCCGCTTGGCTTTTCGCTTTTTTTTACGGGGTAATTGATGTTCCTTACCCTGCAATTAACCCCCACTTCAGACCCCCAAAACCCCCCACTTCCCAACGCAAGATTTATGTCCCGACGAGAGTTATGTGACGAATTTTCTGAGAGAATTCTCAATTACACGCAATTAACTCGAACCGTTTTCACAATAAAATGCTACGCAAAAACAAAGACAAACCGCAACCGAGGTAAAATTACTTGTACGTCATGTGGGTGTTTAAAAATGGCTACAAATAGCCAGCTTTTAATAAAGTTTTTTATTTTTTACCTTTTAAAATCCAATAAGTATTTCGGAAAATGATTAACATATTTTTATACCCGTTACTCGTAGAGTAAAAGGATATATTGTATTCGTGCAAAAGTATGTAACAGCTAGAAGGAAGCGATTCCGACCCCATAAAGAATATATATTCTTGATCAGGGTCACTAACCGAGTCGATCTAGCCATGTCCGTCTGTCTGTCTGTCCGTCTGTCTGTCTGTATGAACGCTGAGATCTCGGAAACTACAAAAGCTAGAAGGTTGAGATTTTCCACACATATTCTTTGGCTTTCTACGCAGCGCCACGCCCCCTCTAACGCCCACAATCGCCCACTAACGATTTCCGGAGAAGTATAAATGCAATTTTGTTGTGTATCTGTATACCTATCGAAATGTAGAAGACATTTTTAAAATCGGACTATTCATTAAAAAGTTATACGCAATCAAAATTTTTTTTATACCTATCTCCCTCGTACTCCCCTTAGCTGAGTGACGGGTATTCGATAGTCGGGACACCAACCCGACTATAGCGTTCTCTCTTGTTAATTATTTAAAAAGCAAAAAACAATTTTTTCTTTCACATTTTATTTTCAATTAGTCTTGATAAAAGCTTTAACATAATATGATCTGGTCAGTTTAAAAAAACATTATTTTTTAGCATTTTAAAAAATACTTCCAATTTGAATATCTTACCTTCATTTTGAATCTGATGCAATACAATATATCGCAAAGTCAAATTGGTATTCAAAAGTTAAAATTTTTCAAATGTACCCTTCTTAATAACTTAAATAATATTCAGTTTATACCAAACAATTTTTCTGCGCGATACAAATCAACGTTTTTCAGAAATTATCAAAAGTCTCATATGACCAATGCAATATCCAATTACAATGCACACTTTTTGCTGCTTTCCTTCTGTACAACGCATATTGATAATATTCAGAGAATAAAATGCAAAAGCAAAAAATAGCTGCATTACATGCAATACGATTATTCAACTTCCTTGTTGATTCGTGTGAATTATGTATGAATCAAGGAATACACGTGCATCCCCTTCTCTTCATTTTATTAACTCTTGCCATGTTTAATTAATTGCTGGCCAGGCAATTAGCATGCGGAGAAACAGAGACCCACTCCCTCACGTGTCAGCAGCAGCAAATTGAATTTTGTTAAAATGTAAACTACATATATGAATGTGCAGGGGAGTGAGCATATATTTGTGGATTCTGCAATTGTTTACTGTCTGGCAGGCAAAATGAAACAATTAGTGCCTGGCCCTGAGATCCTGTAAAGTGTATCTTGTCCTTTCCCCAATCTTGGGCAGCTGAGCCTGGTCCTGGGCTCCAGAATATTTATGCATTTCATTTTTGTCTAAACTAATAAGTTGTGGCTGCTACTGCCTGCCGAGCAGGTTGTTTTATCTCATAATGAAATAGTAGAGTGACTGACTCTATGCAAATAATGCAGATACACATGTCTTGGCTTGGATTTGGCCTGGCACCGAGTTGTTAACATATTCATTGAATCTGAATCAGCTCTTTCACTCCCTTCAGTCCAGGCAGCAGTGAAATATGACTCCTTATCCTCGCCCAAGCGGAGGATTTGTGGGCCTGCTCGCTCCAAGGCCTTGGCTTACTTAATTTGTGGAAGCCTGTGTAATTGAACATTATGCAGCCCATCTAATTGGGTTTCGTTTTCAGCTGTAAACGATAATTCCCCTAAATTCAGAGAGATTGTGTAATACAAATTGTTTCGAAAAAGGGCACTCGGTTATCTACTCTCTCTGATGTTATTTATGGCTTAGTTTTTCACTTTGAAAATATTTTTTTAATCTGATTTACTTTTATCAACAGGTGTAAGTGTAGGTAGGAATTCTGGCATATTTATTTTAAGTCGGATAAATGACAGTAATGTTTTTACTTAAATAAAAAAAACTAAAAGAACATGAAGGTTTTTTTTATCAAAATAAAATTGAATTTTAAAGATTTTTAAAGCACATTTATTTTAAATCGGTTACATATTAAAGACTTCAAATGAAATTTTAAAAAAAAAGCTTTTTAGCAGAATTTTTAGTTGTTGCAACAAAATCACTTAAAAAAAAAAAATATGCAAATTTCTTTTTATCAGAATAAAATGGAGTTTTAAAGGCTTTAGACTATTTTATCCAATAAATTCACTTAGAGTCGACGAAAAAATAAATAAAAACCCCCATCTGCGAGTCACACATATTTCGCTATATCCACAAGTGCCAAGGTTATTGGGTCAAAGTCAGATAACGCGACTCTGACACCTTTGGTGAGTAGGTGAGCAAATAGCTACGATAAGACGAAGTTCACCCCAATTGGCGAACGGCAAACAGATTTAATTACAAAGTCTGTTGACACAGAACCGATAAGTTCCGACCCACTCTCTATGATATAAAGCCAAGACGCGGAAGTATTTTTAAGTCAGACGGTGCAATGTACTCAGCGGGATTTTTAACGAGTTTAGTGCTTCTCGTGGCATTTGCTGGGGCCACGCCCACTCCCGGTGACGGGCGGATTGTGGGCGGCGAGGTGACCACCATTGGGGAATTTCCGTATCAAGTATCCGTCCAGGTGAACGGGCAGCACATATGCGGAGGAGCCATAATCGGACATCACTTCGTCCTCACGGCGGCCCATTGCTTTGAGGCTGAGTTGAGCACCGAAGATTACTCCGTGCGCGTGGGTTCCAGCGAACATGCAAGTGGGGGCCACGTGCTCAGCCTGCGGCAGGTGATCACCCACGGCGGCTATAATCCCCAGAGCCACGACAACGACCTGGCGCTGCTCATCGTATATGCCAGGCTCAATTTCACGGAGCACCTGCAGCCAGTGCCGTTGGCCTCCCCAGTGGATCCACCACCCAGCGCGGAGAGCCGCCTTTTAGTCAGCGGATGGGGCTACCAGGCGGAGGAGGGCGCAGGCAGCGGAGAGGTTGGCGTGTCGCCGCAACTGCGCTTCGTCGACGTCGATCTGGTGGAGTCGGATCAATGCCGACGAGCCTATCGCCAGGTGTTGCCCATCACCCAGCAGATGATCTGTGCCGCACGTCCGGGTGGCGATAGCTGCCAAGGCGACTCCGGCGGTCCATTTGGTTGGTATTCCAGCGGACGAAGGGCCAGCCAAGCTCTACGGCATCGTTTCATGGGGTCTGGGCTGCGCCAATCCCGACTATCCGGGGGTCTATACCAAAGTGGCTGCCTTCCGCAACTGGATCGATGCCCAAGTGGGCGGCTGGGGATTTAATGGATTGCTGGCTGGTTGGAGTGGATTGCAATAATCCGAAGAGAAACTTTAAATATTTATAAATTAATATGTTTAAGTAAACGAATAAAAATTGTACTACATCTACAATCCAATTGATCGATGATTCATTTCAACAATGAAATAAAACAAACCAGCAAAAATAAACACTTGAAATATTTTAATTACTGTGTGAAAACGATTTTAACAGATTACTTTATTTTTTGGGTTGTTATGTACTAATGATTCATCTTATATGTTTTTTTATGCTTGTAAATCAAACATAATTTTCTTGCCTTAAAATTGAAAAGTAACAAAATAATATAAAACATAGTTTTCTTGCCGTAAAATCGAAAAGTCATAAAACAACATCCCCAAAATTTAACTAATAAAATATACCCAAAATTAAAAAAATTGGAAAATATTTGAGAAAACCTACTTCGTAATTTTTAAAAAGTTTATTAAATAGTTCCATTTTTTCAATATTACAAACCATTTTACGCAATGCTTTCAGGTAACTTATTTTAGACACACTTCAATTTTTCTCTTCAATAAAAGTTAAGCTTTACGTTAGGGAAACCCCAATATACCAATGCATTGAATATGTACTAGTTAAGTTGTGCGGCTAGACGGCCTGATGTTTATTTTGGCCTGAGTGCATAAGTTACCTGATGCCGACCGCACCTCCCTTGGCATGCTTTTCTTGCTGTGATTGTGATTTCATTTGAATAAATCAATTGCCACATGCGCATTTGTTGCCACACCGAGACCGCAGCAGCCGCACAGCAGGCCAACAGACCTGGCCAAAACAGTCGGTCGGGGCAGTTCGTCGTTCGCAGAGTCATTTTGTCAGTTTGCTGCTGCGGTTTTCACACTTTTTTGGCAACAACCAATACAAGCACGCCCATGCTTCGCAGTTATCTTTGGTGTTGTTTCAATTTCTGTTTTCCTTAGATTTTGGCCCACGGCCCGGAAAAGTCAACGAACCACCCGAGACCAACCATCGAGTCAATAAGCCTTTTCGCGTGGGCCACGAAATTGGATTGCCTGTCGATGCTGATTTAGGCCTAATCTCGATATTTGGCTAATCGGCACACAGTAGGCCAATAAATTGCCGCGGCTTAAAAATCTAGGCCCATTCAAAAGGGTCCTCTCAAGTCGCGGGACCATAAATAAGCATGACTGTCAGAAAGTAATAGGCGTTCGAAGTTGGGCAGTTGGCTAAGTGAAAGTCCTGTCCCGATTTCCCATAAATTTATTTATTTTCTTTTTCTCGAAAATATTTTTGCTTGCTTTTTTAAAAGTTTTTACCTTAGTGTGGACTTTTTTGCAATCTTTTAACTGTCAGTTTTACGAAACTTGACATATAATACAAGATATTTGCAAAGGGCTTCCCTTTGCATTTGTTTTTAAGTTTCCAGCAAATTCAAGTTTGGTCACATGAGTCATTAGCGCTTTAACATGGGTCTGCGCCCCAGGATCAAACCAACCAGTCCTTCAGTTACGTCTTTTCAGTGAAGGCAAAGGCTTGAATGATGGCTGATGAATTTTGACTAGTTGACGCTGATTAATAAGGAACTTTAACGGTAATTGATTGACTGTGAAAGCAATTCCCTTTGGCCTACAACATGGCCTGCCAATCGGGCACGACCTTTTGCCTAAAATGCCTTTGATCAATTTTTTTATAAGCTCCAGGTCATCGTTGGTTACAATAGCGGATTTAGGACTTGGTTGTGGAGGGATTGTCAAAATAAATTTTTGGTTGCACCCTATTTAAATATTACTTTTCACTCGAGTGGTGAGGTTTTATTTCCAAAAAGGGTCTTATGCTAGTCCTCAAATCACGAATGTCAAATAAAAATGTAAAATAAATTTTACATTTATCTATAATTTTAGATACTAATTGAAATCTATAATTTATAGAATAAAATTAGATTTATTTTATTCTCCTTAAATACATAATATGTATGTTTTACCTGTATTTTTTTTTTCGAAAAAAACATTAGATCTTAAAAACCATTTATTCGGTATTTCTATGTTTTCATTCTTTCATTCATACATCTTTCATTCAAACGGTAAAAAAAATAATCAAAATGCACCTGGGTGCGGATAAGTCAGTACCTGGCCATCAGTGCTTTTTAAGCAGCCACCTGAGCTAACCGAATGAATCCTTCGCCCTTCCTCTGCTCGATGCTCACTAAACACGTCTCGATGTGTTTTTCGAGTTCTGTAACTCATTTGCAACTAAACTGGGTTCATTAAAGTTAATTTGAACGTGCAACATTGGCATGCCACGCAGTGTAACAACGAGGTGTGGGATGGGTGGAAAATCGGAAAATGGAAAATGGTGAGTGGTTGGATGGATGGTTGGGTGGCTAGGTAGTTGGCTTCTGGGGTCTGTGTCCTCCCCTGGCACGTGGCTTAGCGTCTATAAGTTTGACATTTGCGCAACGCAAAATGACAACTGCAAAACCCAAGTCCTGGCAGAGTTGCAAAATGAAAAAGTTGCCAACACTCTGCTGACATTTGCATTTGTCTTTGTGGCAAGCAGGGGTAATGTGGGCATGGTCGGAGGTAAGTAGGAAGTAGGAAAAACCTTTCAAATTAGGACCAACTCTAGGAGTTCTTGTCGCACGTCTGGCCAAGTAGGAAGAAATATGCAAATAATTAGCTGCGTTGCAAAAATTGTATTCGGAAAGTTTGCGACATCTCCGCAGTTTCTGTCACTAATCAATTTTATTTCCTGATATACACACAGACTCCCAGGATGTATATCTTTTGAAGGGAGTCCAAAAACAAAGGCATAAAGCGAACATTAGGGACATTTGCATTGCCAAGCGTCCTCCATCTTTTATCTCCTTGGCTGGCAGCTTCTCTAGACAGCTTTTGCACACTTTTCCGCTTTTGTTATTCCGCGTATTATGTTGCCCATTCCTCGCCACATTCCACTCGCCTGTGCTTTTCCCATGCATGCCACTTACATTTTACTTTACGCGCTTTCCCACGCAGTAGAAACGCGGAAAAAAGGACGAGGAATGCCGCGTATCTCGGGAAAAATTCCTTTGGCGGCGAGCCGATTGCCTGATATGCCCGACTGGTCTTTTTTGGGGGGTATCACAAAGAAAATGCATGCAGATGGAAAAAATTTCCATGCGTTAGGTAAGTGAAAGGCTGGCTGACAGAGGGACAGCCGTGGAAGGGGGAGTGCTGAAAAGCACTAAAAAGTATTATCTAAATGATAATTTGTTGCTTTGTTTGTTGAGTAATGTAATTTTATATTCCTCCCCCACTGCTTCTGCATAATGCAGGATGGACATTTTCCTGTTCCTTCCTGTTGCTTCTGAAATCCCTTAAAACCAAGATATCAGACTTTGAAAAGCTAAACAAAAGTTTAAGAACGTGCATTTATATTTTATACGAGTGTGGCAAGGAAGCTCCAAGTGCTTTTGTTTGAAAACCCTTTAAATGTCTCTCCTAATTATGAATATTTTTCTAGGGTTTTGAAATCATTTATAAATGTTCCTAAAAGTATGCTACAATAGATTTGAAATTAAACATTTCTGTAAATTAATTGCCACTTCAGATTAACTTTCAAAATTACTCATATAACCAGTTAGCCAGGCAATGTTCTCTTAGAATTTGTTACATCATCAATTTAATATTCGCCTGTTTAAATCTTAAATTATTTCAAATTACTTAACTCAAATCATTTCACAGCTGCCAGCTTAACTTAATTCCTAAAGTCTGACTTCCATTTGATTTATTTGATTGGGCTTCCAAGGGATTAGTAAGTCCGCAAGGGTATTATTGCTGGCTCTCTATTATTTTCTGTCACTATTTCAGTTTGCTCAGTCAACCTGGCAATTGAACTAAGCAAACAATGTTAAATTCACATAAGTTGTGTCAACTAACTAACAGCAAAACTATTTCGCATTACGCCCTAAAAGACAAACCAATTGAATGCGATTGAATCGTTTTTGGGGCCGCTTCACCTGCAGCACTCAGCTCATTCGGAATCAATTGGAATTGCAACGCAACTTGCAATGCAATTAAATGCCAAACAAAGTTCGCAAAATTCAATTTGAGAAACTAAAATCGCTGCCGTCTCATCGTTGGACATCCCATCTCTGGACCCTATCTCTCCATCTCCAATGCGAATCGTTATTCCTTCGGTTGGCCAGCTACTAGAGCTGCGGACAAGTCAAAGGCCGAAAGGCAAAAGGCACAAAAAGCCAAAAGCAAAGCTCTGAAATTCAATTCTGTTGCGCTCGATTGCGTTGCATTTCAATATAAATATTTATTTTATTTATATACCAACAGCAGGAGGAGAAAGAGGAGGAGTGGCACACACAAATGGACAGAGCGACAAGTTGCAGCTGACAGTAAAAGATGTTGTGGAGCCCATTTGTTTTAGTCAATGGCAAGCACAAAGTCACTTCGGGTCCACTCAGCCAGTGGAGTTCCAGTTGAGTTCTTGGTATGCCAGCAGCCCAATCTGGAAGGCCCCTATCCCTTTCCCATTCCTATACCACCTCTGCTGCAGTCGAATTCAATTTCCAAACTGATTTTCCCTGGTATGTGTGTGTGTGTGTGTGTATGTGGAAATGCACATTTTCAACTGCAATCGCCATAACTTTGGCTTAGCAATGGGTAACCATCTCGAAGTCCTTGTCACAACAAGCGCTCAACTGTGGAGGTGAGGGCAAACTAAAACTGGGTGGATCAGCCCAGTGCAGTTTGGCATTCGGGAAATGCAATTGCAGCCAAACATGCTGGCCAATTTGTACAGCCTAGCGTTAATTTAAAATCATTTTACATACCAAGCAGCTAGCCCTGGAATTTACTTACACTAATAAAAAAATTCAATTGTAAACATAAGCATTGGCATACAAACACAAAAACCGTAAAATTTAAAACAAAACAAGAACATATTCGAATCAAGTTCGAAAATATTAGATTCGATGTGAGTCATATTGCTTTAAATATTTTAAGTCTTAAAAAAAAATAATTTCGATAGTGAAAATATTTTCAATAAATGCCGCAACGGGCGAATAATATATATTGATACTATGCTTTTTTTATCAGTGTAGGTATGTTTGGTATTTTACCCAAATCTTGTCTTTAAAATTATAATTTAAGTACCTAATTTAAATAGTACAATTTTATTGGATTTATTTATTAAAGTTTTGCTGCTGCTATTAGGGCTATAAAAATATCCCGCGCTGCCTTTCGATCAGTTTTCCCATTTGGATTGACTGGCAGTTCCTCGGTGAACTGAACTCCGGCATGTAGCTGTCTGTGAACTCCTGGCAACCGCCTGGCTACATGGTCGATAATATCCTTGGCACTTATAACCGATTCTTTCTTTGTGACCACCAATGCACCCGCCTCATCGCCGGTTAACTCATTGTGGATGCCCACTACACACACGTTCTGCACCTCCTTTAGCTCTGAAATTACATTTTCAATCTCCCCCGGCCAATAATGAACATACTGGTACTTGAGAGTTGATCTACGACGATCGACCAAATAAAGATAGTGGCGCTCATCGAAGTAGCCCAGATCTCCGGTGTGAAACCAGCCCTCGGGGTCCTGCATGCGACTAGTCTCCTCGGGATTTTCGAAGTAACCTTTCCAAGTCTCGCCGGTATGTGCATACACCTCGCCAATCTGATTGTGTCCCAAATTTTCGCCCTTCTCGTCTACAATTCGAACTCGTACTCCTGGCGCGGGCCAACCTACCGCTTTATCGTTACCAATTCCAGATGCTATGACACCCGACTCAGTCATTCCATATATAGTGGTCACGATCGCACCTTTGAAGAGCTCTCGAGAACGCTGTACGGTTGCCGGAAATATTATCGTTCCGCCGAGCAACAAATATCGTATGGAAGTCAAGACTTCCGCTGTTGCTCCGGGAAAATTAATCAGGGCCACAGTATTGGCAGGTGATACGGAAAGGCAGGAAACCTTATACTTCTCAACCAGCTGCAAAATGTACAGGGGAGTGAAGGGGTTTTTGGTGATTAGACGGGTGGTGCGTAATGCAGTTGTGACCATTAAAAACCACAGTCCACTCATCCAGCTAAGGCTGGTCGTTGAAAAGAGAACAGGTCCACAATCTAGAAGCGTCTGAGATATTAACCTGGTGCTGGAAAAGTGTGCACACTTCGGTGGACCTGTTGTTCCCGAGGAACAGAGAATTGCCACGGTTTGTTTGCCTCCCTCCTGCAAAGGTTCGGGCCTAGAAAGTTTCCGATTTAAACAATACAAAAATCTTGAGTTAGTGAAAATTTGTACAGGCTTACCGGTAAAACTGCTCACTATCTGTAGGAACTAAAAGGGCTTCTATACTCGACACCCCTTCGAGGTGATCTGTAATGGTGAAAATCTCTGGCTGCCATTCTATGGTGGCCGCTTGAACTTTTTCATATTCATTGCCATCACAGAAAATCAGACCCGGCTTGGTTTGCAAGAACACGTTTTTTAAATTTTCTGAAAATTAAAATACGAAATACTTTCTAATGTGATTCAATGAAAATTCTCCACATATATATACAAACCTTTATCCATTATTGAAATGGGTGAATGGAAGGGCGTCCCGTTAAGTAAACAGGCCACTGCCAGAGGCATCAGGTATGTTGAGTTTTCAGCCACAATCCCAATGATATCCTTATGGGTAAGACCTCGTTTCTTAAATACCTGAGCCATACGAATTGCCCAGGAAAGGGCCTGCTCAAACGTAACTGTAACGCCATCGGTATCACAAATCTAAAAGGTAATCGTTATATCTGAAAGGCTTTCGCATTCTAAAAAGGCTAGAACTAACCTGGCACACGTGTTTAGGCCAATTTCTCATGTTATTGAATATAATTTCACCCGCAGATGTATCATCGTCATATTCCAATTTCTTCTTGGCACCACTCCAAATCATTTCCTTTTCGCAGTAGGACACAGGTAATTTCTCCATATTATTGGGTGCTGGTACGATCTAAACTTCGTTGCAAAGAAAATGGGACTGTTTGAAAGTAGAATGTTGGACTAGCTGCCGTAGCTATCATGGTCTTTAATCTTATCAAATGTTCTAATAAAAACCACTTGCAAAGAAATCGTTGCGAAATTCGGGTTTATGTTTCGTTATCTTGTACGACAATGCAATTAGCTCTACCACTTTGGAGGTGTAAGAGCCGCGACTGTTTAATTACCTTACCCAAATTATTTCATGTTGTTGTCTTTCGCTGTTTTAGTATTATTGTTTATTAATACTTAGAAGACCGTAATCTTAATATTTTCAGATACGAGATAGACCAATCGAAGTTTATAAACGTTTTGGTTCAATACAAGTAGTTATTTTTTATTATTTTTTTTTTATTTTGTCTTTTTTACAATACTTGCACTATGGTTCTAAAGTAGGAGTCCAGCGAAATTCATAAATTAAAGTAACATAAATTAAAGTTAGCTAATATCCCAATCTCCAATCCGACTTAAAGTCAATACGCATAGCGTATGGTATGTTAAAAATCCATTATTTTAAAAAACCAATCTCAATATGAAAAAGTTTAAGGAAGCCCACGAACCAACTTGTAGGCTAATAATCCCATAAACCTTCACCATGCTGCCCCTTTGACCCCGACCCTCCCGCACAATCGCTTATGCATGCACTTGCAGTTGCACATTTATTTGCGTGGATATGAGTATTTTATGCACTCAGCCGCATTAAGTTCGTAATGCCGTGTGTAATTATTCTTTGTTTAAATATTTCACAAAGATGCACTTAAAATGTCAGCGCAAAAAGTGACGCGCTTTCACGCACACAGTAACACATTAACCCACACACATGTGCGAATGGCACAACCTTTTGGCTCAAATGTGTTTTCGCCTTTTCTTTTCGCTGGCTCTTTCATTATGATTTCCCGCTCTCTCACCATTTTGCACATTTGCATTTTTATGAACATTTTGCTGCTTACCCCCTCCCCCTCTCTATCTATCCCACTCTAACTCTCGTAATGCATGTCCTTTATATGCGCATACACTAAATATACATTATGTACGTGGGGTAGAAAGGGACGACAAACAAGAGTCGTATGCATGTATGTATGGAAGGTAAGAGTAAGGCGGCATTAAAGTGTATTAAATTACTTAAGCCGGCGAGCAACAACGAAGACATATGCTCAACTTTTAAAGCATAATTTCTCAAGCATAAATCTCTGTGGCTTTTCGCGAACAAACAAAAATTAGTTGCACTCGGCGACAGGCGAGGAATCAGAAAAAGTGCAGAAACAGTGTGGCCAGCGGAGGAGAAATAGCAGGCGAGAGCAACGGTAAATTATGCCCCGCAATATGTCAGCATGTTGCCATGAAGAAACCATTACAGAGGGAAAGGGATAGCAGCAGGGCGGGTGGGTGAGTGGGAGTGGGACGGACAGATTGTGGCTGCTGCACCCATTGCGTTTGTCACACTGCGGGGGTCAGAGCATTTCCCTAGGGGGGTTGAGGCCCCCACTCCCATTGCTTAATCAGAAATTATTTGAAAATGTAAAGTCGACATGTCGACGCACGCACAGCGAGTGCAACCGCAAGAATACCAACCCAATTCCAACCTAGTAGCCCACCATCACCGCCCCCGCTGGCAACTGCAATTTGCTAACGCCACGACCCCATGACCCACTTCGTACTGAGCGTGAAAGAAAGAAATCTGCAACAAGGAGCCAAACAAAAGCCAGCTGAAAAACAAAAACCCACGACAAATAATGAAAGAAAGAGCCCCAAAGACGCGCACCCAACTTTCATAGACTAATGCAGACTTTGCACCATGCTGAGCGCGACTGGGAAGAAAGCCAGAGCAGGAGAAAGAGCACTGGGCTGGGAAGAAAGACTGGCAGAGTCGCGGCTCATTTGTTTGGCCGACTCACACACAAAAGTAAGGCACAGAACAAGCCAAGACAATCAGAGGGTAATTCTTAGGATACGAGATATTTTAGTACCCCTTAACTAATGTCTTGTTATAATAAAGAAAAGCAAAATATTTTATAGCTTCTGTAAATAAAATAAAACACAGCTCTAGATGCATAGTTTTTGAATACCTACCATTTTATTTTTTACCCCAGGGGATAGAAATCCAATTTTAAATACACGTAATGCTCAACAACTCTTCCGACATTTTTACGGCAGAATTTTCACAGAATATCTACGATTACCCATTTTTATTCACCCTACATTCTAAAATGCCCATTAAAGGGTATCGCACTCCGCATATTAGTTTGCCGTTGTGGGACGCATGACAAAAGGAGAAACCGCGGCTGCCTTCATTTTCATGGCATTCGTTGTGATCCATTTCCACCAGGACTTCATCTTGAACTAGTTGGCAAGTCGGAGTCCTGAGTCCGCACTGCCACTCCCACTTTTGCCCCCAAAATAATAAGTCATGTTAACCGAAAACCGGGCGATGTCTTTTTGTTACTCCAGCATTTTCTTCCTCCTCCCTTTTTTTTAGCATCGCGTGGCATCAACAAAAAACTTTTCGCGCACAATCAGTTGCGTTTCAACATGGCACTGCATCATTGTTGCAACTCCTGCTGTTGCTGCTGCTATTGTTGCCTTTGCTTATAATTTACTCTTACTTGTGCATCTTTGGCTTTGTGCAGCTCGTGTGTCGTGTAAAATATTTGCACAACAAGTAAAGAAGTCGGAACGAAGCGGGCAACTCGACAATGGCGCAAGCATTAACCATAATAATTTTTCCTGGAAAGGGGGACTCGGAACGCGGATGCATGCCCATGTAGTCAAGGTTTCTGCTGTTGCCATTGTTAATCAGCAGCTGGTAAACAGAAGTAGCATTGAGTCTCCTCAGGAAGGGAGCTGGGAATGCACCAAATAAATTGAAAGAAAAGTTGTTTACTGCTTTATATTCGCTTGTAAGAAATTGTTTAAAAGTCCATACATTTTTTTATGACCCGGATTAAAACGATTTTTAATTTAGTTTAATAAGTTGTACAGAATCTTAGTCTGAAAACTAATAATTATTATAATCGAGTGTGCCCCTAAAAATAATAAAAATGGAAAGAAAATATCGTTCACGTTATTTTGTACACATTTTGTAACTCTCTATAATTTACGATATATATAAAAGTAATTTTAAAACAATAGAGAACTCTATAGTCGGGTGCCCCTACCTATTAGATACTCAGCTAAAGGCAGTGCGAGGGAGATGGATATATAAAACTTTGATAGCGCATTACCTTTTAACGAATGTTTCGATTTGAAAAATTTCTTCTACATTTCGATAGATATTAATAAACACAATAAAACTGCATTTTAAACTTTTCTGAAATCTTTAAAGATGTGGGCGCCAGACACATTCTAACATCTTTTAAGGCCATTGTGACAACGGCTCGGCTTTAACAAACTTCGCGCGTAGGAAGCCCAAAATAGTGTGGGTAATCCCAACTTTCTAGCTTTTGTAGTTTCCAAGTCTCATTTCTAAAAAAAAAAAAAAAAGGAAATTATTAAATTCCCCCGGCTAGTGACCCTAATTTAAAATATATCTTAAAAGGTGGAATTCCCTTTAAATACTTTTCACTAACTGTTGTGAAAGTATGCAACAAATATTATTTATGGGTAAGGTATCTCTCTATAATTTTAGATATTAATAAAAGTAATTTCAAAACCATTGAGATTTCAAAATACTAAAGCTTTCAAAACAATTTTGTTTTCTAAGGCACCCACAAGAATTTGAAAATTTGAACCCCCAGTGTTTAATTCAACACATAAGAAAGGACCAATAGATTATAATATTAAATCATTTACTTTGCACACCAGAGCGTGAGACAGCACAACTGCGCTAATCCAGCGGACTAAAATTGGTATGGCAGATTTGGCATTTTGTAGATTTGACCACGCGGTCTACGAGGAATCAATGCGCCTCTGCAGCCAAGAACGTTTGCGTGAGAGTCTAAATGAGGGTGTCAGTTCGGCGTCCTTGCGGCCAGACGATGGTTGCTTGAAAACCTGTACTTGAATCTTCTCCGGGTCCCTTCGGGCGGTAAACTTGGCACTCCACATACCGTCCTCGGCGAAAACGGCTGGGCATCCGGTAGCCAACTTTCCGGGCTCCGACGGGCAGATCGGCGACTTGCGCAGCAGAGAGGAAACAAAGCGTTTCAGACCCATTGTCGTTGGAATCGCTAAGACCGCAAGTGACGGTTAATTTGGCAGAAATTTCTTTGTTTTAAAAGTAGCTAGAACGTAAAAAGTGCTCTGTGTTTGATATCCAAAGTATCAAAATGAATAAGTCAAAGTGAAGTGCTGTTCAACGCCTCGCATTCGTTTGATGCCATCCCTCAAAATTCTTTCCAATTATTTGAACTGCTGAGTCGGCGTTGCTTTCTCGACTCGTGGAACTCAATTAGGCCCGGTTGCACTCGCTCAATTCGATAATCGATTAGATTGCCCATTTTTATGGCGAGAACCGAAGAGAAGGAAAATTGCTTAGCAGCCAGAATTGTTAACCAAGTCATAAATACATATATGTACGCGTGTGTGGGGTCTGAAAACTTTTGCTCCCAAAATGCAATGCGAGCGCTTTGCAAGTTTTCTGGGCCCCGAACCCATTTTCTGGCACATCCACATCCTCATCCTCAGCTAGTCAGGCCACGAAGCTAAAATAATTGATAACAGATTATGTTTTACAATCTAAGCAAGGAGAGATATAATACGAGCATTTTAATGGCCACATGTAGCGGGGCACACGTAGCGAGCACCCGGATCTCCGGCCTCAACTATGTATGTACGACCCCTGCTCCGAGTTACCCGCAAAACGTTTGCAAAACTTAATTATTTCGTTTTGACCTTTTTGTCTTCGTGTGTGTGAGTGTGGTTAGGGGTTCGAGGTTCGGGGTTCGGGGGAAAAGTGCGCAGAGATGGACAGTTAAAAAAGTTATTTATTTTATGGTCGAAAGTTACTTTGGCCTGTTTTATGGCAGCAAAATCCGGAAAGGAGAGGAAACTCTATTCTCCCAGTCTATCCGCCAGTGCTGAAGAGCTTGTTGCCCAAAAGCCAAAAACATATAGGCTACAAAATAGCCAGGTTAGTTTACAAGTAAAATTTATTGGGCAATACCTATGATTTAATTCATTGAATCTTTAAGATTGTATCTCCAAAATTTTAAGTTAACCACTTCAATTAAGTTTTTTTTAAGAAAACCTTCCCACACAATTTATTAAAACTTCAGACTTGCTGTTATTACTTTACATAATGGGTGCTTGGCAGTCAATAAAATCATAATAACTTATTGCTTTTTTATTTCATATAGTTATGTCCTAAAATATATTTATACCCGTTACTCGTAGAGTAAAAGGGTATATTGTATTCGTGCAAAAGTATGTAACAGGGAGAAGGAAGCGTTTCCGACCCCATAAAGTATATATATTCTTGATCAGGATCACTAGCCGAGTCGATCTAGCCATGTCCGTCTGTCCGTCTGTCTGTCTGTATGAACGCTGAGATCTCGGAAACTATAAAAGCTAGATGATTGGCATTTTGCATGCAGATTTTAGGAGTTCCTACGCAGCGCAAGTTTGTTTCAAAATGGTGCCACGCCTTCTCTAACGCCCACAATCGCTTATATACGATTTTAAAAATTTTAATATTTTTGAAAAGTAAAAATGCAGTTTTATTGTGTTTATCAATCAAATAAAAACACCTCTTAACGAGGTAAAAAACTAGTGACGACCGCACCTTCAACATACAAAAGTTCTGATATCAACATTTGTGACGAAAAATTATTACACTCGACATTAAATAGACTTTCTAATCTTTTCTCATTCGTCACGCTGCAATAGAAAATGCCTGTAAAGGGAAAAAGGCTGGAATAGTTTGCTAGGGCGGGCCGAATGAGAAAAGATTAGAAAGTCTATTTAATGTCGAGTGTAATAATTTTTCGTCACAAATGTTGATATCAGAACTTTTGTATGTTGAAGGTGCGGTCGTCACTAGTTTTTTACCTCGTTAAGAGGTGTTTTTATTTGATATCAGAAGTTTTTGTTTGTTTACATTTGCTCTCATGCTAGTATATACATTTAAATTTAAATTGGTCAATCATAATTTGTAAGCCATTGTATTTAAACAAATTAAGTTAAAAAGGCGTTTAAGTATTTCAAAATACCTTTAAAACGAGGTATAGCACATTTCTGTACCTTTAGTAGTGTAGAACTTAAAAACTAACGAAATTTAGCTATTTTTAGCTTTTTTCCCGCTAAAGTAGCGGCTTTTTCCAAAAGTCGTAGAACAAAAGATTCCTATATGGAACTCTTAAGTGCAAATTTACTGATTCCATGACCCCAAAATACAGTTCGTATACCCTCACACAAAATTCAATACTCAGGGAGCGTTAGTTGTTCGAGCTGGCAAAAGTGGCTATTTTCGTATAAAAATAACTTTTAAACGTGACTTTTTACAATAATGTGTTATATACCAAAATTTAAGGAATCTCAAGGGCTATACAGTTTAAAGTTGTAAAGAAAATCGTTAGAGCCGTTTTTGAGAAAATAGCTAAAAAGTGATTTAAAAAAACAACTTTTAGCCATAAATTTTAAACTATTGCATTAAGCCAATTTTACCCAAGGCAACGCGATTAGCATTTTAAATTACCTTTTTAACGAGGTATAGCACGAGTCTGTAGCTTTGGTCGTTTCAATGATTTCCCGCCAAACTAGCGGGTTTTTCCAAAAGTTGTAGAACAAACGTTGTTCATATCCTGCTGCTAAGCACAGTAAAATTTAGTTCAGGATCCTAAAACCACGATTTGATGCATACCCACAAACAAAGGGACAAATTATTTCATTTTGGGAAGAAGAAGAAAATCTTATTTTGGCTATAACTCTTGAACGGAGCATCGGATTTTATCATATGACCCCTCATTCGACGGGAATTTTCAATAGAAAAACTACTAAAACATTGCGACGGGGCATTTATCCCCACCGGCCCCAACAGCTCCAAATTTCGAAATTTTCACTTTTTCACTTTCACCGCTCTCTCTCCCAAGCCAATTGATTTTCTTAAAGTCTTGGTATGCAATCCTGTTAGTTTTCGCAATACCTTTCGATAGGTGTATCATTCATTATGATCGGACCATCACAGTAGATTTTCATTTCTTCGTGTATATATAGTAGTCGCCTTCGCACACTCTCCTGGTGCGCTTCGTCACTACATGGACTGCCGTCCATAGTGATACCTATCGAAATGTAGAAGAAATTTTTCAAATCGGACCATTCGTTAAAAAGTTATGCGTGATCAAAGTTTTCTATCTCTATCTCCATCTCCCTCGCACTCCCTTTACCTGAGTAACTGGTATCTGATAGTCGTGGCACCCGACTATAACGTTCTCTCTTGTTTTCATATCGAAAAATGGGTCACTGGTCACTATTCAAGTTTATCCCTACAATATTGAGTTAGGGAATAATTATTTTCTGCAGCAAATTAGGGTTTCCAAAAACTAAATACATTAACATCACTATCCCCTACGCAATTAAAAACGAAACCGCATTTTCCTAGTGAATCATTTTTCACATCTTTATTTTCAGCTTATTTTTCCCCAGGCCATCACTGCGCCCATTTCTTGGCTCCGTGTGGCCACGTGAATTTACTCGAGCGTGGATCATCACTATGGACGGCAGTCCATGTAGTGACGAAGCGCACCAGGAGAGTGTGCGAAGGCGACTACTATTATATAGCCGCAAAATTGAAAATCTGCTGTGATAGTCCGATCGTAATGAGTAATACACCAATCGAAAGGTATTGCAAAAACTTAAAGGATTGCATACCAAGACTTTAAGAAAATCAATTGGCTTGGGGGAGAGAGCGGTGAAAGTGAAAAAGTGAAAATTTCGAAATTTGGAGCTGTTGGGGCCGGTGGGGATAAATGCCCCCTCGCAATGTTTTAGTTGTATTCCTTTTGAAAATACCCGTCGAATGAGGGGTCATTTGTCGAAATCCGACGCTCCGTTCAAAAGTTATAGCCAAAATAAGATTTTCTTCTTCTTCCCAAAATGAAATTTTAATTCTGTTTGTCAGTTTGTCCACTTGTCCACTTGTCCACTTGTCCAAAATATGTTTTTTAAGTTCTGAAAATTTGATATGACGTTCATCACATCGATATAAAAAACTTTTGTTCTACCACTTTTGGAAAAACCCGCTAGTTTAGCGGGAAAACAGCTATAAATAGCTAAAATTCGGAAAGCCGTAACTTCTATACTACTAAAGCTACAGACTTGTGCTGCATCTCGTTTGAAAGGTATTTTTAAATGCTATAAACGCCTTGTAAATGCAATTTGTGTAAATGTAATAGTTAAAAAGATATGAACAAAAGAAAATTTGTTTAAACTTTTTTTTAGCTTTTTTTAATTTTCTCAAAAACGGCTCTAACGATTTTTCTTACAACTTTAAACTGTATAGCCCTTGAGATTCCTTAAATTTTGGTATATAACACATTACTGTAAAAAGTCACGTTTAAAAGTTATTTTTATACGAAAATAGACACTTTTGCCAGCTCGAACAATTAACGCTCCCTGAGTATTGAATTTTGTGGGAGGGTATCCGAACTGTATTTTAGGGTCATGGAATCAGTAAATTTGCACTTAAGAGTTCCATATAGGAATCTTTTGTTCTACGACTTTTGGAAAAAGCCGCTACTTTAGCGGGAAAAAAGCTAAAAATGGCTAAATTTCGTTAGTTTTTAAGTTCTACACTATTAAAGGTACAGACATGTGCTATACCTCGTTTAAAAGGTATTTTGAAATACTTCAACGCCTTTTTAACTTAATTCGTTAAAATACAATTGTTTAAAAATTATGATTGACCAATTTAAATTTAAATGTTTACATTAGCACCTATGAGAGCAAAAGTAAACAAACAAAAACTTCTGATATCAAATAAAAACACCTCTAAACGAGGTAAAAAACTAGTGACGATCGCACCTTCAACGTACAAAAGTTCTGATATCAACTTTTGTGACGAAAAATGATTTTAGATGCGACTAAATAAGTACGTTACCTAAAATTTATTCATTCGGCACGCTACAACAAAAAACTTTCGTGTAGATATTAAATATTTGCTAAAGCGGGCCGAATGAATACATTTTAGGTAACGTACTTATTTAGTCGCATCTAAAATCATTTTTCGTCACAAAAGTTGATATCAGAACTTTTGTACGTTGAAGGTGCGATCGTCACTAGTTTTTTACCTCGTTTAGAGGTGTTTTTATTTGATAAATCAGAGAAACGAAAACGAAAAGTATTTCAAAGTGGCCCAGGCGCCTGGCCATTTTAGCCATGAAGCGATATCCGGGAAACGCTCCCCTTCTCCGCCGGATCCACCAGTGTGACCGTATTCCTGATGATCGACTGCTGGGCCGACTGCAACTGGGACTGCGATTGCGAATCGGCCAGGGCGATGGTTTCCAAATCGTCCTTGTTCTCCATCGCTTGCAGCACAGAGTCCTTGAAGAAGGCGGTCTCATCGATCTTGCGCCTATACAATCCAGTCGGATGCTCCGGATCGAACACAATGTCCGGCCGAATATCGTTATCGGTGACCAGAACGCGGGCACCGGGAATCGGAAGGAACTTAAACAGACGCTTGCGCAACTTGGGCATGTAGGTGACCCTCTGGTGATCGGGCACATGGGTCAGTCGCCGCGGAATCAGCTCGGGAAGATCGATGGGATAGTCCATAAGCCGGCGCTCCGGCGGAAGCTTCTGCTTGATGGCCTCCAATTGGCGGGCGGTCAGCTGCAGCGGCCGCTCGCCATCCTTCCAGCGCTCCTGGCCGCTATTAAAGGCGATCTTCTTGTTGTTCTTCAATTGCTTGCGAACCACACGCTTCGCGGCACAATTGTAGGTGATCTTGGGCACATAGGGCGGTACCGGATAGGTCCTAATCGAGATGGGATGCCTTTGCGGCTGACTCAGCATGTTAATGTACTTGGCGTCGGCAAACATGTTTATGGGTTTTCCCTGCTTTTTAGAAGCAGTTGGCGCCTTCTTCGGCGGCTTCGGCCTGTCCCTGCGTCCCATTTGGAACAAGTGCCGATGGCCCTGACCCTCGACGTGGCGCCAATCCGGCTCACAGAGTCGCTTCCTGCTGATCCGTTCGAACGGCTGGCGGCGAAACTTCAGACGCTTCTGGTCGTCGATCAGCAACTGCAGACCCGCCACACTCGTCTTTCCCGCCGGACAAGGACACACGTCCTTGTAGCTGGTGCAGTAGCGACCCGGCGCTGGCTCCATGCTGATGTGACGACGGATCAGCAGGCTGGGCTTTGTGGGCACGCAGGAGTGCCGCAGGAACAGATGCGGATTGGGACGCACTGTTTTGGTCACCGGTGTGGCATTTGCGGCCAGCTCAAAGATGTTCGTATGGGTATCGCAGGGACCGGCGTCCTTGGGATCACGCCAACACCCGGTCAGCTCGGAGATCATCGCATGGGTTGTGGGACGGCGATCGCGGGCATCTGGAAGGGAGGATTGTTTTAGAAATATTAATCATTAAAATGTGTTATCAAAAATTCACAGTGAATATTAGGGACCCTGGATGAGAAACCAATATTCTGTCACAAAGGTAAGTTCATCTTTATAACTACTTATTAATTATACTGCAATTTTTAATTTGTCTTCAGTCTCAAAGAGAGAAGATTCAAATAATAAAATACCCCAATATATTTTTGAATAAGCATTGATTACACTAGTTTACAAAATAATATTCTTGGTGTGCTTCCCAGCAATTCATGGCAAATTCTGTTAGTGCTAGACCCCTAGATCACAAAAATAGCACTTATTTTTTTTTCGATGGCACAGTTTTTTTTAAAGATTTTTTAAAGTTAGAAATGTTAAATTTTGTTTTGTTTACATGTCGCCGCCTATGATAAATCTTAAATTTGGGCTCTGTCAACCGAAAAAAGTGGAAAAATCCGAACTTTAAAAATCCACCATAAATCCAGTTTTCCATGGATTTGGGCCATATCCGGCTTGTTTTATTCGGTAGGATGTAATTTTTAAGTTTGTACCCATTATGATTTTTCAACGGATTTATTTCTAGTTTTTACGATATATACAGCCGACTTACAGACGACCAAAAAACACATTTTTCCTCTTTGTCGAGCTTCTGCGCTGCCATTACTCATCCAATCGTATTGATCTGTATGGCAAAGTTAAGCTCTAATCTATTGACTTTAAAATAAAACTAAAACTGGCTCAACCGAGTGGATATCTGCCGAGATAATAGAAGAAATTCGAAAAAAATCCGAAATTTAACATTTCAAACTTTAAAAAATCTTTAAAAAAATACTGTCCCATCGAAAAAAAATTTAGTGCTATTTTCGTGATCTAGGGGTCCAAATCTAACAGAATTTGCCATCAATTGCTGGGGAGCATTTTGGCTGTAAACTAGTGTTATATCACCGCTCCATTTTCCATTACACCCAAACAAAACTTGATTTGAAGCGATGATCAATTAGATGTTATGTGATATCGATTTTGACTTGATATCCGGGCACCTCAATTCGATATGCTCGAAATGTAAGCAACAGGCCAGTTCGAATTTCTAATTCGTCCTTCTCCCTCCCACTCATTTAACTGTATGCGCTCAATTTCGAAGTCAGAGAATCTCAGAGAGAGAAATTTCGGCAAAAACGATATGCGTATGCAATAGCAGAAATTTACTATGCGCATATCGATTTGACCTCGACGTTTTTTTTTTGTTTTTGTGTAGTTACTCGATAGAAAGATGCCCTTCTGCAGGTTCTCGCGCTTGAAGAGTCGCTCGATCTCCGCCGGAAGTTCGTAGAAACGGTAGGGCGGTGGCTTGATGGACACTCGGCTGTGGTTTGTATGCGGCTTGGCGAACACGGAGCCCTTGGTGCCCTTGAGGCGGAGGAACGGCTCTGGAGGCACTCCATAATGATTGGGCGGCAGCTGCCAGCCCCGCCATTTGGTCATATTCCGATCGATGTGCAGGCTTCGACGTTCCGGATACGGATTTTTTGGTGTCTTGTCATAGCCCGTAATATGGCGATAGTGATCGAACGTCGCCTTGCTGAAGGCCTCTCGGCGGTTTTCTGGTAAGAATTCTTAACCTTTATACTCATTTCGGAAGTTTAAAAAACTCTTACCCTTTTGACAGTCCTCATTGTAATGCTGGCCAGCCAATCTAAATTGATTCTCCACTCGTGGCAAATTTTCCTTTCTAATACGATTACCTGAGACAAAGTTTTAATTTGGCGGACAAGCTTTAAGCTCTAAGGACCATCTTACGTGACAGCATAAAAAGCGGCAGACTCATACGGGTGGCCACAAAATTTTGCCGATCCTCATTATGTATCGTTGCTGATTTCTTCTCCATGTTTGCCTAGCTACTTTAGTTCTTAAATATACACATTTATTTTACATAATATGTTTGTGTTTGTCAGAGGTAAGTTATGATCGAAAAGTTTGCTAGTCAATTAAGATAACAATGTTTACTATGATTTTAAATTTAAATTTTATTTTTTTATTTTTATTTAAATCTTCAAATAAAATGACAAAAATACTCAGCTTAAGGAAGTGTGTGGGAGATGGAGATACGTATGTCTTGACTTCGATCATGAAATAACAGCGCCATTTGGCGCCGACTTTTTAATAAAATTGTCTGTATTGAAATATTTTCTGAATTCGGATACCCTTCCTTTTACATACTTTCTAGCGAATACAATATACCCTTTTACTCTACGGGGAACGGGCATATTGACTTAAACCGACAAGCAAGGTCTTCTTAAGAGGTTTTCCACGTTTGTGATGAACTGAATTGTAATCTATTCATTAAATCGTTTAAATTTTAACTATGCGCTATTTATCAATGTATCGAATTCTCTTCGAACATACTTTGGCAACGTATTCACAACCCAGTCGATGTTCAATTTATTGTTTGTTTATCAATTTGTAAGGACCAACCAAAGCCATCAATTCTGTCCAATTTAAATTGCAGACCATTCGACAACCGAATAATTTGGTTACGTTACCCAGATAGCTCGCACACACCCAGTCCCGTGAATATTTGTAAATATATCAGTGCAAGTCCGCCCACCTCCACACACACACACACAGACAGACAGAGAAGCACACACACAGTCACATATAGTGGCCACATAATTAGCGTAGCCAAGCGAACTGATTAACTTGCATTCAACGATTTTCAATTGAATTTTGCAGTTCGTTGATTTGTGCCGAAAAAAGAATGCGAGTGAATACAAAAAATCTGCAACAAAAAAGTTGTATGGATTAAAAGCGGAGACTGCCGTGCAATTTCAATCAGCCGCGTAGGGCGGGTAAAAAAGGGGCGGGGCGCCAGCCGGAGGAAGCCTGAAGGGAAAGCGCCTGGCTTTTTGCTGCATCGAAGGATGGGAAAATATGCAACCGGGCAAATGATGAATGTGAAATGTGCCATTAATTAATTTGATTAAATGCAGGCAATCAGTCGAGCGAGGGCAGCCCAAGGGGTCCAACTGAGATGAAGAGGATATCAAGGGGCAAGATAAAGGGGATCTGGTGTTAAAAGTGCCAGTTAAGTATCCGCCAATCCACAAGCCAACTAAAGAATGCACCGACTTCAAATTTAGGGCATCGATCTTAAAAATATGATCTGGTTCTTTTCATAAATTTTTGTCAACAAAAATTTAATTATTATTTTTATCTATTTACTTTTGAAAAACACTTTCTAAAGTTAACACTTTGATTTTCTAATAATTTTCATTATTATGCTTTTTCCGCATCTTCATAGGTTCTAATGACCTTCGGCTTCAGATCGTCCTTGCCGCCTTTGCCGCCCTTTCCTTTGCCCTTCTTGGCGGCCTTCTTGGCCTTCTTCGCTTCCTTTTTAGCCTTCTTTGCTGCCAATCTATCACGCTTGGCCTTCTTGCGAAGCTCCACTGAAAATAAATTAAAAAATAAAATTTGTACTAAATTCGTATTAACCTGAAGTCGTTAGATTAAGAAGAACCTTAAATATTTTTTTCTTAATAATTAAAAATTATTTTAAAAATATAAAATAATATATTACGTATAAACTTACCTTTGACCATGCGAGCGGTCGCCAAATTTACGGGCATCGGGGCGCATTTAAATCCGGCTGGAGGTGCCTTGGTTAGGCGGATGAATCGATTGCCGGTGGCATAGAGAAGGCCCAAACAGGCCTGCGGTCGAATGCGACTCTTGGGCCAGTTGGTAAAGTACAGGTCCTTGAGCTTGATCTCCGTCTTCTTCACGCCCTCGATGTCTCGCCAGTAGTACATCTCCCGCGCGATGGTCTGGTCTCGAATCTTCCAGCTGTGCTTGGGCGGGTACTTTTGGTAGCTGGTCATGCAGCTGGGCTTGTCCACAAAGAACCAGACGTCCGCATCGGGATAGAACTTCATTTCGACTGCTGGAACTTAAAAGGGGTGGGGAAAAAATGTATAATTTTAAATTTGGCGAGTTTTTGAACTTTTTTTAGGAGTTTATTTCTAAATGCCGAGGGAAAAAAGAAATTACATACAAAAACTCTGATTTGTCAGTGAAGGATACTTTGATGCAATTTTAAGAAACCCAATATAAAATAAAAAAAAGTTAAATATATCAAAATTATATTAAAATAAATTAAATATTTTTAATTAGGTAATAATTTCCATTTCTTAATTTTATAGGGTCTTGTCTTATTTGGTTCATGTTTCTTTTTACTCTGCTGAAAATAGTTGTTTTTTTTTGCTAACAAAAGTGAACCAGTGACTAAGGACTCATACTTTTTCATTTGCCAGCAGGGTTTTGGTATTTTTACCTTATCCTTTATCTGATTAAAATGTATTTTATTCCGCCTGCGAGAATTAAACTTAACTAAAAGCAGCTAACTGCCGGCTAGTAGTAGTGCTAGTTACTTTCAGCCGTAAAAACTAAGCAGGCACTTGCTGCTAAAAAGTTAAGCTCGTTAGGAGGAGGGGTGGAGGTGGAAAGTCTCTTGACTTGTCACACTAAAGCGACAAAGGTGATGTCGAAAAACTGTCAATTAAGTTTAATTATTTTATGCTGCAGGAGAGTGGAAAGGACCTCGGCACACACACACACACACACACAGGGAGAGAGACACGGACAGCTAATGTGGAAAAGGCGTCTTATGCAAACCCAAACCAAGCCAAGCGAAGGGAGGTCGCCGGGGATCGACGAGGCTAAGCAAAGTCAATTATCCAAGCAGCTTTGATGCAAGTAATTGGCATAATGAAATTTCCTCTCCAGGACAACCGCAAAGAATAGAAGCCGCAGGAGCAGTAAGAGGAGCAGGAGCAGGAGCAGCGGCAGTAACCAGTAACCATAACCGTATTAGCATATCGCTGGGTTCCGGGGGCTCCTTGGGTTAACTGACAAGCCGTGGTTTTTTAGTTCTTGTCCTGCGTATTGAGTAAATATTTAAGCAGTCCGCCAGCTGTCGCACAATATTAATAGCATGCATCCGGGCGCAACTTGAACTCAACTCCGACTTTTTCCTTTGGCTTTCGCCAAGAAAAGATAAAGAAAAAAGCGAAAAGAAAAGGGACGAACAGTCGAACAGCAGCCCGTGGCCCCAAAGTGCAAATATGTTGCGGCCAAAGCCGCAAAAACGTTTAAATATTTTATAAGCCAAAGGCACTTGCCAGCCAACCCGAGTTGCATTTTGAGCCAGAACAGAGCAGAAAGTGGAGAGGGAGCAGCTAACTGCTGCAGTTACCAAATCGTCAACAACTAAGGCAGTCAGGACAGATCCACACGTATATATATATACATGTACTTATATATCCCCAGTCTAATGGGAATCGGTTGGAGTTCGTTGGTGGAAAGCGGCGGGTATATTGGATGAGAAAGCCAGCTTAGGGAGGATCTACTTACTTCGGATTTTTAGCTGAAAGCAGGAGTTTGTACAGCCTTAAAGGCTGTCTGTTGTTGTCTAGAGATTTGTTATTTATCTGTATCAGAGTGTCGGTCCAATTCCAAAAATGATAATATTGTATTTTTTACTTCCTACACCCAAAAAAAAATTTGATATGAAACGATGATCAAGTTGTATCATAAATTTTGGCTATTTCGAATGTGTTTTTCCTTCTCCCAATCTCGCTCCGACTAACGTTATTTAAGTCGCCATATTGCTTCTTACTCTCTTTTACGAAGTCAAAGAATCTCCGAAAGAGAGGCGATATTATTTAATAACACTTTTACCAGTATTGCATGGTATAAACGACATGCGTTCAAATGCCCATATCGATTTCATCCTGGCGCGTTTTTTTGTGTGCATATTATTTTATAGACTTCTTTACATAAAAATAAAATTTTTTATTATAAGAGAACCTGCTGGATATCTTCATGTCGACTTCTGTTTGCGATGTAATCTCTCTAAATACCCGACTCCTTTTTAGTTGATTCTGTTGCTATGTTGCCCAGCTCGTTTGGCATTCCCCTAATGCCATGAATTTTCGTTGGTTGCATTTCAGTCTGCCCGGGATCCCCGCCGTCACCACCTTGCACCACCAAACCGAGGGGATACTGCACATTGTCTTTGGTGGTTGCGGTAGGGATGGTGGTTCTGGGTGGTGCTGGTGAAGCTGGGCTGCATTGTTGCATTGTTTTCTGTTGCATATGAACGACAGCTTTCCACACTTTTTATCGCTCCGCTCTGCCACTTATTATAGCATTTTTCTTCGCTTTCTTGGCTTTTGTGCGCAAATTTCCATGGGGAGGCTGTGTGCCGCGGAGTTTTCGAGCTGTTCAGCTTTTCAGCTGTTGAGCAGATTTCGCGGGGACATAATACACTTGTAAAACATTCAGTAACTTAAAGCTGGTGCCCCATTCCACTGCCCTCAGTCCCAGTGAAATTATCGTATTTCAATTGAATTTCTCACATGCGATTTGCATAATTGAATTTGGGCTTGCAGTGCCGCCGCCATCAGATGGTTGGATAATTTATGTGTTCCATGGCCGCCAAAAACCAAACGACAACTCCGGTTTGAGCCGCTCATTTCTGGGATAATTATGCCGCTGAAGATGCGTCTGCTTTATTTTTATCGATGCGCATTAAAAGGCTTTTAAAATTTATTGATATTACCGACTCTATTAAATTATGCCACCACCTCGGTGGCTGGATGGCTGGATGCCGGGATGGCTCTTTGTGTTGCTCCTGTTTCTGTTTTTGTTGCCTTGTTGCCTTTACAGCCTGACTGAGTGACGCCTGGTGATGGCAGCAAATTTTCCATGTCGCCAGTGGCAGCAGCACCAAACAGCAAACGGCAAACAGCAGCAACATCAAGCATCAAGGGCTGCTGATGCTGCTGCCGCTGCGTCCGTTGACTGGCAGCAAAATTGGCAATTCCAAAGCATCAACGACGGCGCAGGCGACTTTTGCCATTGCCCATCGGGAGGCGGGTGGCCATGGGTCTGGTGGGCGTGGCACGGGGATGGCGCAAACTCAATTTGTGTGAAAAATACTTTTAGTTACTGTGCATATTTTAAATGTTACACAGCGGCAGCCACAAAAGCAGCAGCAACAACATCAACAACGCATCACCATCAGCGTGATGTGAATTTTATTTTATAAATATACGGAAAAAAATGGGAAAAAAATTAAAAATTATATTTCACACAACAGGAAGCGGGAGCGGTAAGCTGAATATTGGATAAATTAATGCACAAGGACTGGCAGCCATTGAAATCAGTTTATTATGCACACACACACAAGCACAATGTCGGCATACGTGTCGTATGATTGATAAATTTGCACTTTGAAAGCACTCAAAATGTTAAAAAAAAGTAAGGCAACCGAAGGCAAAAGAAAGACATTGCGTCCTCGAACTGAGTAAACAATCCCCCCTCAAAATATGACTCAAATAAAAAGCTAGAAATAAAAAAGGTTTATAATATTTATAAGAATACAAAAGAAAATATATTTAATAGTTTTGTTTGTCTTTTAATAATTTAAACATAGGGGAGAGGTCTGTAAGTTGAGACAGTCTGTAAGTTGAGACACTCAATTTTCTCAAAACTTTTCCACTAAAAAATTTTTTTTTATTTTTCTTTTTTTTTTGTAGTCCTTTTTAGTGACAAAATTTTTGGGGAAAACATTATAAGCCAGGCTCTAGACAGATTTAAGCTGTGAGAGTCGTGTACCATTTTGCACCAAAAAAGTTTTTGTCTACTTTTTTCAAAATTCCATTTAAAATTAATAACGTCCTTAAATTAACTTGGAAAGAGATTTAAAACATTAGTATATTAACTGTTAACTAATTAAAAAAAGAATCAGCTTAATGTGACAGTCAGAACAAAAGTTATTAATTTTTTCCCGAAACATCCCATTTTGTGTAAGTTGAGACACCCGTTTTTCATACAAAAAGGCCTTAGGCCAACAGAGGTCGCTTTCTGCCTAGCACATTTCTTTGATATTAGGGGACAAGTGAATGTTCAAAGACCCTTTTGATTTTAATTGTTATTTGTTCGAAGTTCTTAAAAAATGGATGGGAAATAATTTAGGACGAACTAAAATTGATTAAATTAACATAAATAAATAGTTCCTTATAGTTTGGAGTACATTTTGTGTGAGTATTATTGACTTTAAAAAGTGTCTCAACCTACAGACCTCTTTTTCAAATTGTCATTTTTTGGCACATTTTCAAAAAAAATTATTTTTTAGTTTTCCCAAGGGAAAAAAAATTTTTTTTTGCTTTATTTTACAGCTAAAAGACTAAGCTTTCGATCGGTACTTAACACGTGAAGTTTCAAAAGCGAATGTCCAAATGGGAGACTAAAAACAAAAGGTGTCTCAACCTACAGACCTCTCCCCTATATATTTTTCGTCACAGTAAACAAAATTTCATATGAAAATTAACTTTGTTGTTCATTTATATTTCATAAATATTTATTGCCCAAATAATTCAAATTCATATTGCGTATGGAAAGTATAAGTAAATATAAATAAAACCTAGATCTATAAAAAATATTAATATTTTTTTTATAAAATATGTAGTCACAATATAAATTGATACATAAGTAAATGGGTAATGGTTGTTTTTTTTTAGAATTCCTAAAGCACTTTAACAATTATGGAAGTATGAATAAATACTTTTAGGAGCCAGCATTTGTCCACTATGTAATTAGTATTCATCACGCATTCGGGAATTGAAATAGTCACAAAGAAGCGCCAAAGAGAATCGCATTTTGGCCAACATCACACTTCATTAGCACAGGTTATCGCGCTGTCTGCTGGCCAAAACGTGTGCGACTGTGTGTGTGTGCTTGTGTGTGGCTCACCCCTCCTTAGGGTTCCATTGGGAAATTTCGCATGCACATGGCGCAGACATTTGAAAAACGGCCAAAGCAATGGGAGATGGCCATGCCGAAGAGTTCGGGAAAGCCCCCGAAAACTGTAAAACTCCCAGGCACGAAAAAACTGCAAAGTTCAAAAACAGACGCAGACACGAGCGGCGAAGGATTTTTGAGGCTGGGCAGGAGGCCGGAGTCTGGGCAGGATGCCTCTAAAGTGGT